AGAGAAGACTCCCAAACTCATTTTACAAGGCCAGGATTATCCAAATTCCAAAACTAGACAAAGACACTACAAAGAAAGAAAATGATAAGCCAATATCTCTAGTGAGCATAGATGCAAAAGTCCTAAACAAAATGTTAGCAAACCAGATCCAGCAATACATTAAAAAAGAGCATACACCATGATCAAGTGGGATTTATGGTGGGATACAAAGTTGGTACACTACCTGAAAATCAGTAAACATGATTTACCACATAAACAAAATGAAGGATAAAAACCACATGATCATATCCATAGATGCAGAAAAAGCTTTGATAAAATCAACACTCATTTATGATAAAAACTCTCAGAAAAGGGGAAATAGAGGGAACATACCTCAATGTAATAAAGGGCATATATGACAAACCCACAGCCAACATTATATTCAATGGGCAAAAACTACAAGTGTTTCTCTTAGGATCGGGAATACGACAGGGATGTCCATTTTCACCACTCTTATTCAACATAGTACTGAAAGTTCTACCACAACAACGAGATGAGAAGAAGAAATAAAAGGCTTCCAAAAAGGAAAGGAAGAAGCAAAACTGTCATTATGTGCAGATAACATGATATTGTATATAAAGAATCCTAATGATTCCACCAAAAAACTACCAGAACTGATCAATGAATTCAGTAAAGTAGCAGGATACAAAATAAATATCCAGAAATCAGTGCATTTTTATACCAGAAAGGGAAACTAAGAAAAAAAAACACCCATTCACAATTGCTTTAAAAAGAATACATAGGAATAAATTTAGCCAAGAATGTAAAAGACCTTTCTTCAGAAAATTATAAGACACTGAAGAAAATAGTGGAAAAAGATACAAATAAGTGGAAGCATATACTGTGTTCATGGATAGGAAGAATTAACATAATTAAAATGTCCATACGACCCAAAGCAATCTATACATTCAACATAATTCCCATCAAGAAACCAGTGGCATATTTCTCAGAACTAGAACAAATATTCCAAAAATTTATATGTAACTACAAAAGACCCCAAACAGCCACAGCTATCTTGAGAAAGAAGAACAAAGCGGGAGGAATCACTCTACCTGATATCAAACTATACTACTAGGCCAGAGCAATCAAAACAGCCTGGTACTAGCATAAAAACGACATACAGAGAGCCCAGAAATAAACCCACGCCTTTATAGTGAATTACTATTTGACGAAGAAGGGGAAAACATACAATGGGGTAAAGATAATCTATTTAATAAATGGTGCTGGGACAGATACATGCAAAACAATGAAACTACACCACCTTCTTATACCATACACAAGAATAAACTCAAAATGGATTAAAGACTTAAAAGTTAGACTCGAAACCATAAAAATCCTAGAAGAAAACATAGGCAGTAAAATCTCAAACATTTCTCATAGCAATGTTTTTTTCTGATATATATCTTTGGGCAAGGGAAACAAAAGTAAAAATAAACAAGTGGGAAACAAAATAATCAAGTTTTTGCACAGCAAAGGAAGCCACCAACAAAATGAAAAGACAACCCACTGAATGGGAGAATATATTCATCAATGATACATCTGATAAGGGGCTAATATCCAAAATTTATAAAGAACTTATAAAACTCAACACCAAAAAAAACCAAACCACAATACAATTGAAAAATGGGCAAAGGACCTGAAATGACACTTCTCCAAAGAGGACATACAGATGGCTAATAGACATACGAAAAGATGCTAAACGTCACTAAGCATCAGAGAAATGCAAATTAAAATCACAATGAGATATCACCTCACACCTGTCAGAATGGCTATCATCAATAAATCCACAAACAAGTAGTGGTGGAGAAGATGTGGAGAAAAGGGAACCCTCCTGCACTGTTGGTGGGAATGTTGACTGGTGCAGCCACTGTGGAAAACAGTATGGAGTTAAAAATGGAACTGCCGTATGATCCAGTGATTCCACTTCTGGGAATACATCCGAAGAAATCTGAAACACTAATTCAAAAGAATATACGCACCCCTATGTTCATTGTAATGTTATTTACAATAGCCAAGATTTGGAAACAGCCCAAGTGCCCATCAGTACCTGAGTGGATAAAAAAAGCTGTGATACATTTACACAATGGATTACTACTTGGATGTAAAAAGACGGAAATCTTACCCTTTGCAACAGCATGGATGGGCTGGAGAACATTATGCTAAGTGAAATAAGCCAGTCAGAGAAAGACAAGTACATATGACTTCTCTCATGTGGAATCAAATGAACAAGTAAACTAACAAACAAAATAGAAACAGACTCATAGATAAAGAACAGACTGACAGCTGTCAGAGTGGAGGGAGCTGGGAGGCTGGGTGAAAAAGGTGAAAGGATTAAGCAAAACAAAACAAAACAAAACAAAATCTCATGGACACAGGTAATAGTATTGTGCTTACCAGAGGGAAAGGGGTGTGGAGGAAGGTAGAAGAGACGATGGGGGGATAAATGGTGATGGAAGGAGACATAGTTTAGGGTGGTGAACACAATACAATATACAGATGACGTATTACAGAATTGTACACCTGAAACTTATATAAGTTATTAACCAATGTCACCCCCATAAATTCAATAAAAAAGTGAAAACGAAAACAATAAATCAAAGAGATATATGACTCCATGTTCATTGCATCATTTATAATAGCCAAGATATGGGAATAATCTGTGTCCATTGATGGATAAATCAATAAAGAAAATGTCACACACACACACACACACACACACACACGCACACACACACTGGAATATTATTCAGCCATAAAAAAGAATTACATCTTGCCATGCAACAAGATAGATGGACCTTGAAGGTATTATGCTACGTGAAATAAATCAGATAAAGACAAATACTATATGATCTTACTTATATGTAGAACCTTAAAAAAAAAACCACACCACACCACCAATGCTGATTAGATACAGAAAACAGATTGGTGGTTGCCAGAGGTCAGGAGTTGGGAGGTGGGTGAGCAAAATGGGTGAAGAGGGTCAAAGGTACAAAGTTCTATTTATAAAATAAATAAGTCACAGGAATGTAACATACAGCATGGCAACTATAGCTAATACTACTGCAGTGGATATTTGAAAGTTGCTAAGAGAGTAATCTTAAAAGAAAAGAAATGTGTAACTATGTATAGTGACAGATATTAACTAGACTTATTGTGATGGTCATCTTACAATGTATACACATATTGAATCATTATGCTAACCTACTATACACCTAAAATTACTATGTCAATTGTACCTCAATTTTGAAAAAATAGTCTATGATATATTAATAAATTTAAAAAACTAGGCTAGTATATGTTCAGTACATTATGATTGAAACTATAAAAATCAGCTAGGATGGACTATACAAAAATTGTAAATTAATTGTGTTGTAGCAAAAATATGGATAGTTTTTTCACCTGCTTCTATCAATTGTAATAATGTGTTTCATTTTTAAAAACTGTAAAGAGAAATCTCACTAAACATTTCAGCCTCATGCTGCAGCTCCGAGCACAAAAAAGACCCAAACGAGGTCCCCCTCCCTGGAACCAGCGTCACCGTGCAGGCCCCTCGGGGAGTGTACTGGGTATGGGGGGCCAGTGCTCCTCCAGGGCCGTCCTGGTCTGGTTCAGAGAAATGAGCTCATGGCTCTGACTCCCCCTGCCTCCTCCTGAACTCGTATGCCCTTCCCCATGCTTAGCACCACAGACGTTTTCATTTTCACTCCAGAGGATAAGATCATTATCTTGGGGGATGGGTAAGGCAAAGGACAAAGGCTGGCATTACGGCATGGTTTATCAAAAGAGAAATCCTCTATTGAAGACAGACAATTAGAAAAGGTCAGAACACGAAAACTGGGATATTATCTGGTCCGACACCACTCCCGCTATAAAAAGAAAACGTGGGTGTTATCTGACCACACCTGAGGGTCGGGGTGAGGAGGTGGGTTTTCCACGGTCTCCAAGCTGCAAAGCTGGGACTATGAGCCTACCAGGGGTGGGCAAACTTTTTGACTCGAGGGTCACAATGGGTTCTTAAACTGGACCGGAGGGCCGGAACAAAAGCATGGATGGAGTGTTTGTGTGAACTAATATAAATTCAAAGTAAACATCATTACATAAAAGGGTACGGTCTTTGTTTTTTTTAGTTTTATTCATTTCAAACAGGCCGGAGCCGGCCCGCGGGCCGTAGTTTGCCCACAGCTGGCTAGACCCTGGCCTGCCTTCTACTAACAGGTCAGCTGCTCCCAGGAGAGGACACTCCAGGGAACTGGAGAGGGGCCTCTAGTGCCACCAAAAATAATGAGTAAAAGGATAAATTTGTGATAAGATTTCAACTCGAAAACAGTTCCCTGTGTCCACAAAAGCATGATAGTCACTAGAGAGCGAAAGCAGGTGTGGCAAGAGGCACAAGATAAAATCAGAAGTGCATGCTTTCCTTGGGCTGCTTGGACACTCGCCTGCCTTCTTCCCTTCCTCTTTTTTGGTAACAGATTTATTCAGATATAATGCACATACCATACAACTCACCCATTTAAAGTACACAACTCACTGCGTGTATTAGAGTTGTACACCCATCACCACAATCAATCTTAGAACACGTTCATCACCCCAAAAAGGAATGCCAGACCCTTTAACCACCATGCCCACCCCAGTTCTCCATCCTGGGCAACCACTGGTCTACTTTCTGTCTTTACAGGTTTACCTATTGTATGTCATATAAATGTCAGTATTTTATATTTCATATAAAAAAGACTACATATAAATGTAGTCTTTTGCAACTGGCTTCTTGCACTTAGCCAAGTGCACCCAAGGCTCATCCATGTGTGCAGCGCGTGTCATTCCTCCTTTCACCTGGACTGCAGTCACCAAGCTCTTCTGTCCTCGCGATGCACACAGATTAGCACAAGCGGATGTGAGCAGGGACATGACGGGGGAGAGGGAATGGTAAGGATTTCCAGGCTTTCAAGGTTCATACTTACTTTGATTTTGTAAAGTTGTCTCAGCCTTTTCAATAGTTAACAACAGATTTTCGGAGAGGTCTTCTCTTTTGCTCACTATTGGAAAACCATTCCAGATGTACATCATTTCCTAACAGGGAGGAATGAAAACCCATTTGCAATTATGTGACGGTTATTCAATGTCCTTTACAACAACAAAACTACGAATGTGTGTTTGCCTTGGTTGCTACGGCTCTCATATAGAGTTGAGTGATATCATTTCCCCTTTCTCATTTTATTATATGACTTTGTCTTTTATACTGTGAAGTAATTCAATAGATATACTATAGTGTGTTTTTACTGAAAAAAAAATAACTTATTCATTCATTGAACAAATATTTATTAAGCGCTTATTGGTATTCAAACATTTTGGAAGATAATCAATTATAGATACTGAAGTAAATATTTTATTTTTTAAAAATGTTTTTATTGATTTCAGTGAGAGGGAGAGAGGAATAGAAACATCAACGATCAAAATCATTGATCAGCTGCCTCCTGTACATCCCTTACTGGGGATTGAGCCCAAAACCCGGGCATATGCCCTGCGAATAGAACCGTGATCTCCTGGTTCCTGGGTCAATGCTCAAGCACTGAACCACACCAGCCAGGCAAATAAATATAGCATTTTAAACTGATACAATGGACAATTCTATTTATATAAATCTTTGCTGTTACATTTAAATAAAGGGAAAACATTTTAAAATATCTGCCAATTATTTACATAAATTGTTTCCAAGGATGTCACTGGAAATGAACATAGGAAATATTTCACCGGACTCGGGTTCTTTTATACCATTAAAACATGTGACAGTTCACTAATGCAATCCAATATGCAGAAAATGTATTCATTTGAAGGCCATATGGCTGAATGACAGCCCTTGAAAATGTAAATGAATGATTTTTCTATTGCAAATTACATTTAATAAGGTAACAGATGAGAATTTTTTTTTGGACCAAAAGCAAATGTGCTTTTGCTTGAAAATATTTTTATAATCTTCCTGGTAATGCAGTTCATATTTTTAAAGGTATGAAATAAGCAGGGTAATTAGTATTTCTTAGAAATGAAACATGGTAAAGATATTATTTAAACAACCTCTTACAGGGAAACAGTGGAAATGAGGAAAATGCAGTTGAGTATAGTGGCAACAAGGTAATCTTTAATTTACGCCACTGAGAACTACTAAACTACTAAAACTGCCACACTCTACCTTTTATTTCACATCTAACAGTTTCTTGTTGCTAACAGTGTCACAACTCAATTCAATAACTAATGGGATGTTTAATGATGATGATCTTTTTAAGATGTTGTTTTTACTGATGAAATATTTACAAGATGAAAGCAAGTTACCACAATTCAAGCCAATTATACTGCCTTAGATCTAGAGAAATCAGTGCAGTGAGGTGACCTTCCTGAAGACCCTTAATGAAGTCGGATATAATTAGCTTATAGAAGTCCTGGGGCAGCAAGAAGGCTATGGTGATCCAGATGATTTTCAGGAAAGTTCTGTGACGCAGGAAGAAAACGTTTCCAAGCACAAATTAGTGATAGAAATGAATTAGGAAGGGAGCTAAAAGCTGTCACCAAGAATACAGCAGCAGGTTCCCACATTAGCTGGGAACGAGGGGATATTTGGTCCTCTTCCTGGTTTTCTTACCTTCATCTGTGCTCAGACATAGAGTGCTCATATTTCGTCTAGCACAGGCACAGAATAACCTGTACTGGTGTGGTGTTCCCTGAGATTGTCTATCTGAAGTAGGGAACACACAGGTCTGGGCACTAGATGCAGGTCGCTCCTATCACCTGGTAGGGGCTACAGTTTTCTTTCTCAAGGCAGACAGAGAGAGAGCTCCCATAATTCAATGATCAAACAATAAACAGCCCAATGGAAAACTAGTGAGGTATATGAACAATTCACAAAAGGAGAAAGAAATAAGAGTAAGTAGGCACATAAAGACATGTTCAACTGCACCAATAGAAAAACACAAATTCGAACAGTAAAACACTGTTGGTAGAATTTTAAATTGATTCAGCCTTTTTGGGAGGGCAGTTTGGCAATGTCACAATACTAAATGCATATACCCTATAACCAGGTACTCCATTTCTTGAAAGCTTTCCCAGAGAATTATATGCTCAAGGACAGAAAGAAGAATGTAGAAGAATATGAATTGTAGCATGTTTGTAATAGTAAAAATTGGGGGGGGGGGGGGGGCAAAAACACGAAGAACTTTCAAAGGGGAATAATTGGATAATCTCTGGAATACAAAAAATGAAATGTTTTAAACTTCAGGAAACCCAAGCAGTGAACTGCAGAGGTGAGCGGGCAATGAACAGCTGCCTGTGCAAATCTAACGCCCCAACGAACCACAAGAATTTGAGATACCCGGTACTTTTTCAAGAAGTCTTCATGAAGAACATTTAAGTTGAAATTACGGTTTTTATGAAGTCTAGCCTTGGTGGTCTAACCATGAGGACTATGGCTCGGGCCATGCACTGCCCAGTACAGCAGCCACCAGCCACTCAGGCTCTGAGTCCTGGAAATGTGCTCGTCCACAGGAGATGTGCTCCCAGAGGAAAACACCCACACATCCCAAAGAATCAGAGCTCTACAGAGGGATGGGAAGCAATTCATGACATTTTGTTGATTCCATGATCAAACAACAACTTTCTGTATATCCTGGATTAAACAAAATACTACATCTTTTCAATCATTTTCATGTTTCCTCTTCCTTTTTAACATTTACCTATTCATTTTTAATGTGGCCACTCAGAAAAGAGAAAATGACCTATGTAGCTAGCATTACAAGTTAACTCAGCTTCAATTAAGTCAGCGGTTCTCAGCCTGTGGGTCGCGACCCCTTTGGAGCCTGAAATTGTAGGGCTAGGTAGGCCTTTGGAAGGGCTTTGGCGTTTACCCTGGTGGGCGGGCCACTGAAGGATGGTTAGCGAGCAGCGACATGTGAAGGAACCACTCTGGACGCTGTGCCCAGAATAGACCACAGGGCCCTGGGGGCAGTGAGTATGGAGACGTTTGCCGTAGTTGAGGCAAGAAGCGATGGGGACTGAGATGAGGCGGCTGCAGGGGAGACATGGGAAACGGAATGAATTCAGGGTGATCAATCTGGCTGGTGGCATTCGCTGATGGCCGGGAGGGCAGGGGTGGGGAAGTGTGTGAGGAAATACAAAAGAACGAAGTCCTCTGTGGCTTTCTGGCCACTCGTGTCCACAGGGTCCACCTTCCCACAGGACTGGCTGCCTCCGCTGTCCCTGCTTCCCTCTGGCTCAGACTTCCCTCCCCCACGCGGCCCCTGGAGACTCAAATTCCTCTACTTGACCCAGAAAAACCAGTTCGCTCCCCCTTTCGACTTGTCCCTGGGCCCATCGCTGCATCTCCAAAGAGGAAGCCTTGGCTGCACTGCTAAGCAGACGCCGTTAGTGGCTGGGCCTGCGCTTCTGGAGAGATGGGTGCCCAGGTAGAAGGCTCACAGGTTGTCTTTGCTTTTCCTCTTCACCTCAGTTCCCTTCAAACAGAAGGGAGCAGGATGAAGACTCACTTTCCCACCAGGTCAAAGTACACGATTCCCTTTAGAAACCCAAGCATGTTTGGTTAATAATGTTTCACCTCCCTCCACTATGAGTGCTAAGCTGTAGTGACACGTCGTTTTTATTATAACAGCCCCAGGTATTAGAATGTAATTCCCCAATTTTACAGGCGAGGAAACGGATCCACTAGGGTAAGTGCATTGCCTGAGGTAAGGGGAATCGCAGGCTACCTGGAGGCACTAAACTGACGTACTTTATAATGTCTTTAAAGATACTGTAAACCAGCGGTTCTCAACCTGTGGGTTGTGACCCCTTTGGGGGTCCAACGACCCTTTCACAGGGGTCGCCTAAGACCACCGGAAAACACATCTGTAATTACATATTGTTTTTGTGATTAATCGCTATGCTTTAATTATGTTCAACTTGTAACAATAAAATTGGGGGTCACCACAATATGTGGAACTGTATTAAAGAGTCGAGGCATTAGGAAGGTTGAGAACCACTGAATTAAGTCAACTCACCCCACTCTGCCTGGATTTCCTTATCTATAAAATGGGCTACAAAGAGAATCAACCCTCACAGAGTCATCAAGAATCAAAAGATTATTATTTTTAAATAGTTTTTATCATAATGGGTCAAACATACCAACTTGTCAAAAAAAATCAGCTGTAATATTCATTATTTAATTATGAATGTTCACCTTACAGGCAACACAATGGTTTTCAATGGACCTAAACGTCACAACAAAAGCTGGGCGTGCTCCCTGCTGCTAGGAATAGACCATTAACTTCTAGAACACAAACAGTAAATAAAATAAAGGCAGATACCAGGGCAGGCAAGACGAGCTTCACAGGTGCAGGCAACGAGGCGGAGTAACGGCGAGACTTCCTCACGGCAAACTTCTCTGTAGGGATGGACTTCCCGGCAATTCTCTGCTTCAAGCTGTCCACCTGTCTGTGAAGAGCCCAGCCCCAGCGAAAGGTCATTAGGACACAGACTCTATTTACATCCATGGTGTTCACGCCATGTTCCCTAGCCTAGACCAATAGCAGCATCACGTGGAAACCTGTTCCAAATGGCAATGTTCAGGCTCCTCCCCAAACCTAATGAATCAGCAACTCCTAGGGCTGGCTGGTTGGCTGGCTGGATGGATGGCTCGATGGGTGGATACTAATATAAACAAAGCTAAACAAATTACTTCCCAGAACAGCCTCTCAGAACCTTTGACACACTAATGAAAACTAAGGATATGTTAAACTGTGTTTCTTAAGTTTATCTGATCACAGAATACCTCTGATACATAGCAAAAGTTGACGTCTTTTGCCAACAATACCATCTTAGGAAACTGTTCAAAATGCAGTAGCAAAGTCCGAATAACAAAACAAAAAAATGTGTTCTCAAAATTCCTGCTAAAAGGATGCCATTTTGACTCTTAGCTAAATATATTTCTAAAGAGTTCCTAGTTTCTGAGGCAGCTGTGAAACTTTATAATGTGGGAATGGGGAAGTTATAAAATGTAGTAATATATAAAATGTAGAGGACCATTAAGAAAAGACTGACAATAAAAGTCAGAACTTTCAGAGAGTGAAATATACCTTAAGCAAAGTTAAAGGCAATGGACAGACTGGGAGAAGATATCATCAGCCACATAAGTGGCAAAGGATTAATCTTATACAACAAGTTTATCAAATCTTCTAGGAAAAGACAAAAAACTCAATGGGAAAATTGTCAAAGATGAATAGGCAGATTAGAAAGATACATGAGTGACAAATATACATATGAAGAAACGAAAAAATATAAATTTAAAAATTAGTCCGGCTTGCCCTAGCTGGTTTAGCTCAATGGATGGAGCGTCAACCTATGGACTGTAGGGTCCCAAGTTTGATTCTGGTCAAGGGCACATGCCTGGGTTGTGGGCTCGAGCCCCAGTGGGGGGCGTGCAGGAGGCAGCTGATCAATGATTCTCTCTCATCATTGATGTTTCTCTCTCTCCCTCTCCCTACCTCTCTGAAATCAATTAAAAAATATTTAAAAACAAAAAAACAAAAAAAAACTAAGAGCTATTCTTAAAAAAAAAAATTAGTCTGGCTGGCAGGGCTCAGTGGTTGAGCATCAATCTATGAACCAGGAGGTCATGGTTCAATTCCTGGTCAAGGCACAATCCCCAGGAGGGGGTGTGCAGCAGGTTTATGTTGAATGAGAATGTGATGCAACTCCACCACACAGATAACTTCCCAAGTAATTCCTCCCAAAGAAATTACCTCTTCTACATTCCCTTTCAACAGCTCTATTCGGGCATGATAGAACAGCATAAATGAGCCCTGTGGAGAAAGGAAAAGAACACACTGTTTAATGGTCGGCCTGGCCAGGGGATCACGGCTGAAACATACACTTGCGGTTCTCGGCGTACATTTGGAAACTGCTTCAGGAAAGGTGCCAGGAGGTTCTCTGCTTCCACAAGGTTCACCTCTCCTGTCCCTGCAAATGTAACAGGAAAAGCCTCAGTCTCCAGGAAACACGGCAGACCCTTATAATCAATTCTCCACAGTTCATTAACACGCAGCAAAGGCCTATTCATGGAAAAGATGAAAGCTGTTCATTTCTTTGGAAAATACCCTCTCCCTTCCTCTCTGAAACCAATAAAAATAAAAACATAAAATGAGGTTATCATTGGTTAGCCAAGAAAGAGGCAAAAATAAAACAGATCATGTCCAGACTGGGTAAAGAGCACTGCAAACAAGCATCCTATCGTTACAAGAGTTTAAATGGAATAGCCTTAAGTCAAGAGGGCAATCTGGCAGCATTTATCAAAATGCAAACATCTTTGACCTGGAAATCCTAATGATCAGCATGTCACACACATGCACAGAAATATACATATAATCATGTTTACAACAGCATTGCTTATAGTAGCCAGATGTCTATCAATAGTGGACCGCTGTAATAGGTATAGTACATCCATCCTAAGAAATGAAACTCAGCCATCAAAAAGAATGAATGAGAGTTACATACACTGACCTGGACAGAAATCCAGTATGTATTGTAAGCAGAAAATAAAACAAATCAAAGAAAAATACATATGTTTGACCCCATTTGTATAGAAGACAATTGTTTGTGAGAATCCTATATAATAAAAGCCTAATATGCAAATCGACCAAATGGCAGAACGACCGGTCCCTATGATGTGCACTAACCACCAGGAGCTGTCCCCAGCCTGCAGGCCCCAGGCCAGTCAAGGCGGGTGCCAGCAGGGGCCCCCTGATCACCCCACCAGTCGCCCTGCAGAGGGAGGCGAACAGCAGTGGCAGTGGGAGCAGGTGGTGCCAGGCTGGCCAAGGCGGGTGCCAGCAGGAGCCCCCCGATCGCGCCGCTGGTCGCCCCACAGATTAGCCCTGGTTGCCGGCCAGGCCTAGGAACTCTATCAGTGCACAAATTTTGTGTACCTGGCCTCTAGTATTTATATAAAGGCTCTTCATCTTCTTCAAGGTAATTAGTGAATAATTCACTTTGATGAGGAGCACACATGTAGTACAGTGAGGTTGCATCTCATGCAGGGGCTAAATTCCAAAGTCAATATATAATACTAGAGACCCAGTACACGAAATTTGTGCACAGGTAGGGTCCCTAGGCCTGGTTGGCAATCCAGGCCGATTGGGGCCTTCCTTCATTCCACGCTGCCCCCTGATGATCAGTGCACGTCACAGCGAGCGAGCGAGCGAACTCCTGGTCTCCTGGTCGAACTCCCGAGGGGACACTTTGCATATTAGCCTTTTATATATATAGATAGAAATTGATAATAGTCAAGTTTTTTTTTAAATCCCTTAAATTGTCCACCTCTATTTTGTATACTCTACTATGAATTGTTTCATATACTTTATGTGTAAATGTAGACTGTAATCAGTAATCTACTACATATAATAGAATACACACACAAATTTTAATGTTGACTTTTTAATTACAGAGTTTTTCCTTTGCTTCTGTCTAGGGTCGTGGTCAGAAAACTGCGGCTCACGAGCCACACGCGGCTCTTTGGCCCCTTGAGTGTGGCTCTTCCTAAGCTTTAGGAGTAGCCTAATTAAGTTAATAACAATGTACCTATCTATATAGTTTAAGTTTAAAAAATTTGGCTCTCAAAAGAAATTTCAATCGTTGTACTGTTGTTATTTGGCTCTGTTGACTAATGAGTTTGCAGACCACTGGTCTAGGGCATATAGCTAAATTGACGTATGTTGAATGAGAATGTGATGCAACTCCACCACACAGATAACTTCCCAAGTAATTCCTCCCAAAGAAATTACCTCTTCTACATTCCCTTTCAACAGCTCTATTCGGGCATGATAGAACAGCATAAATGAGCCCTGTGGAGAAAGGAAAAGAACACACTGTTTAATGGTCGGCCTGGCCAGGGGATCACGGCTGAAACATACACTTGCGGTTCTCGGCGTACATTTGGAAACTGCTTCAGGAAAGGTGCCAGGAGGTTCTCTGCTTCCACAAGGTTCACCTCTCCTGTCCCTGCAAATGTAACAGGAAAAGCCTCAGTCTCCAGGAAACACAGCAGACCCTTATAATCAATTCTCCACAGTTCATTAACACGCAGCAAAGGCCTATTCATGGAAAAGATGAAAGCTGTTCATTTCTTTGGAAAATATAATAAGACAAGCCTCATCTGTGACTTTCATTTAAGAAAGCTCTAGGACGGACTAATTCTTAAGAACGGATTACATACACTGACCTGGACAGAAATCCAGTATGTATTGTAAGCAGAAAATAAAACAAATCAAAGAAAAATACATATGTTTGACCCCATTTGTATAGAAGACAATTGTTTGTGAGAATCCTATATAATAAAAGCCTAATATGCAAATCGACCAAATGGCAGAACGACCGGTCCCTATGATGTGCACTAACCACCAGGAGCTGTCCCCAGCCTGCAGGCCCCAGGCCAGTCAAGGCGGGTGCCAGCAGGAGCCTCCCGATCGCGCCGCTGGTCGCCCCACAGATTAGCCCTGGTTGCTGGCCAGGCCTAGGAACTCTATCAGTGCACAAATTTTGTGTACCTGGCCTCTAGTATTTATATAAAGGCTCTTCATCTTCTTCAAGGTAATTAGTGAATAATTCACTTTGATGAGGAGCACACATGTAGTACAGTGAGGTTGCATCTCATGCAGGGGCTAAATTCCAAAGTCAATATATAATACTAGAGACCCAGTACACGAAATTTGTGCACAGGTAGGGTCCCTAGGCCTGGCTGGCAATCCAGGCCGATTGGGGCCTTCCTTCATTCCACGCTGCCCCCTGATGATCAGTGAACATCACAGCGAGCAAGCGATCGAACTCCTGGTCTCCTGGTCAAACTCCCGAGGGGACACTTTGCATATTAGCCTTTTATATATATAGATAGAAATTGATAATAGTCAAGTTTTTTTTTAAATCCCTTAAATTGTCCACCTCTATTTTGTATACTCTACTATGAATTGTTTCATATACTTTATGTGTAAATGTAGACTGTAATCAGTAATCTACTACATATAATAGAATACACACACAAATTTTAATGTTGACTTTTTAATTACAGAGTTTTTCCTTTGCTTCTGTCTAGGGTCGTGGTCAGAAAACTGCGGCTCACGAGCCACACGCGGCTCTTTGGCCCCTTGAGTGTGGCTCTTCCTAAGCTTTAGGAGTAGCCTAATTAAGTTAGTAACAATGTACCTATCTATATAGTTTAAGTTTAAAAAATTTGGCTCTCAAAAGAAATTTCAATCGTTGTACTGTTGTTATTTGGCTCTGTTGACTAATGAGTTTGCTGACCACTGGTCTAGGGCATATAGCTAAATTGACTTATGTTGAATGAGAATGTGATGCAACTCCACCACACAGATAACTTCCCAAGTAATTCCTCCCAAAGAAATTACCTCTTCTACATTCCCTTTCAACAGCTCTATTCGGGCATGATAGAACAGCATAAATGAGCCCTGTGGAGAAAGGAAAAGAACACACTGTTTAATGGTCGGCCTGGCCAGGGGATCACGGCTGAAACATACACTTGCGGTTCTCGGCGTACATTTGGAAACTGCTTCAGGAAAGGTGCCAGGAGGTTCTCTGCTTCCACAAGGTTCACCTCTCCTGTCCCTGCAAATGTAACAGGAAAAGCCTCAGTCTCCAGGAAACACGGCAGACCCTTATAATCAATTCTCCACAGTTCATTAACACGCAGCAAAGGCCTATTCATGGAAAAGATGAAAGCTGTTCATTTCTTTGGAAAATATAATAAGACAAGCCTCATCTGTGACTTTCATTTAAGATAGCTCTAGGACGGACTAATTCTTAAGAACGGAGGTGGTTATCTTAGATTCCCTAATTGGAATTTCCGGTTTTAATGGCAATATTAACTTATTTTAGCCCACTTTTTAATTTAAAAGGAAATCTAGGATGCTAACATAGATCTCCTTCAACAAGTATTATAGAATTTTTTAAGCTATGAACAGATTTTAAAAATTCAATGGAAGAAACCCTCCACCATCCCTGACAAATGTTACTATTTTCCATCTTTATCCATAAATAAATAAACAGATTTAGACTATTACCGCTTACTGATTTTTCAAAATTGTTACTTAGGTGAAAGATAATCAACTGACAATGACATAAAATGCAGCCCAGCCCTTACCAAGTATTAGGGAGATGTAAGTATGGAAAGACAGAATAGTCAAGCAGCAGAGTGGAGACCTCATGCTTCTTCCGGATGCACCTTCCTGTAGCTGCAGGAGGCCCAGTTCCTGTTGCAATTAAACGCATTTTAGAATGAGAAGAGCATGCCTGGAAAATCATATTCAGAAACTTTAAAATGCTAGCTCCTGTATCCCCACCCACCACAAAGGTGGGTTCATTTTTCAAGAGCTTAGAATAGTCATAATTCCTAACTAGAAACAAACTTTACATTTTAAAGTAGCATAAGACACTCTCACAAATTCTTTTGTATCATGTGGATTCTAGGGAGAGAGAAAAGCAGAGCTCATTTCAGAGAAATGTTGTTATTTCTCTGATATAAATATTAATTTGTTAAAATATACTGAGGATCTAAGTGCAAGGCACTATGGTGGGTATAAATAAATATGGTTCTATGTCTCCAAAGACCTTTCCATCAAATAGAGAAGACAGTAGGCAAGCACATGATTTTATTAAAATATAGTGAGTGCCACGTGAAAGATGAATGGTCAAGGGGAAGGGGAATGATTAAATACAGTCTGAATAGATAGAACATATCATGAAGAGATCACCATAAGTACATAATGCCTTATGAAGAACAGATACAGTAGTGTTGGGGTCCAGCCCCAGCAGGTCCAGGGGTTCCCAAAGGTGGGGACGGAGTCAGCGAAGAAGGAATGACACGGAGGCAGCGTTCAGATGATCAGCAAAGCCAGGTTCTCTAGCCAGGTTCTTTCTCTATTCTCCTGTTACATCTGTATTTATACCATTTGATTTTAATCCTATCCATTCTATTCCAAAGGTTAGGGCGTTTGTTATCTCCATTCCAAGGTCACTACTCTACTGTTCTGTTAAGCTACAAGGAAGTAACTGAAGGAGATTATCCTAAGATTATGTAGCTTAAGCGTGATTGTTCATAGTTAAAGTGATTAACTACCCGCCTGGCACTTAGTTAAGGGATTTTACTGATTTATTCCCTTCCTTAGTCCTGTTAATCCCTAACTCCAGGGAAAAATTCCCACCTGGGGAAACAACCTTTCTCGGAAACGTGACCCTGGTTAAAACACATAGCGCTAAGAAGGGGAGCAAGCATATTAAGAACAGTATGCCATATACGCCAGGTCCCTTGAAACATATGCTGTGCAGATGTTTCTTCCCTGCAGCGACTGTGTCAAGCAGCAAGGATGGACCAGCTTCCGGCACAGTAGGATAAATGAGGGGGAAAATTAAAGGTTTTTGCCCTGGCTGGGTGGCTCAGTTGGGTACAGCATTGTCCCATAGCCCAAAAGGTTATGGGTTTGATTCCAGGACAGGACATATATCTAGGTTGCAGATTTGATCCCGAGTCGGGGCATGTATGGGAGGCAACCAATTGATGGTTCTCTCTCTCTTTTTCTCTACTTCCCTTCCTTTCTCTCTTAAAAAAAAATCATTAAAAACATCCTCGGGGGAGAATTTTAAAAATTACAGGTTCTTGTATATATTCTCATACATTTTTTGAAACCTGCTCTCCTAATTAACAGGGATGGCTTTTGCAATAAGGCAACTCTGATAATAGCATATTGAATGCTATGATTAATAAATGTTATACAGTACAAAAACAGACTCATGGAAAACAAATGTCCTTGCTTAGTTTTATAGCAAAGCTTGTAAAAAAGACAAGGAAACCCAAAATACTGCAGCTATGCTTGATCATGTGAATCATTAAATGTTAGACTTGGAAATCTAGCCAATTTCCTGGTTTTACAAAAGACTCTAGGGTTGTAAAAACGTTAAGGAAGCAAATGTGAACCAAGTGTACTGAAGCTCCAAGCAAGCACAACACAGGTTGGGGCAAAAGTAAGATTTTGTTGAGTACACAAAATACAGACTTTATTCTTGTATTATTAATTACTGCATTATTTTCCATCTGAACAACTGTAAACCTACTTTTGCTCCACCCCGTATTGGTAAAATAAAAGTTTTAATTCAGAATTTAGGTAACAAAGGTAAAAAATTGAACATTCAGTAGAAAAAGCATCTCTAATTCCTAAAAGACATGATCAAGGGCCAATGGCTCTTTATTATCCTGCAAACAAATTGCCAACAACTGTCATGTTGGTCATGAGGACATGTTGCATTGCTCTACGATTCAGTAAATAACAATTTATCTTCATTGTCAAAATTGAGATTAAATTAAATTTGTACCCTATTTCCAGAAAATCCTATGAATTCTAGTAGTCTGATAATCCGTGCTGGTAAGAGGGACAGCATCTGTAAGAGAAAAATAATACAAGTGTGCTCACATGTTAGTGTATCTCACCGTAGGTAAATGTTAAACTCCAAACAACTTCAAGTTTTAGTAATTCAGGAATATGAAAAATTAGAACCGAGTTTAAATCACTAGACGTGTCTCAATCATTACTGAGTGCACAGATTGCGATCATTACTTGTGAATTAATTCCATTTAGCTAAGACAATAATCTAAAAAAAATGTTTAAGAAAAGGAAAACCTGGCCTTTTCAGCATGCTCTAAAGACAACGTGCTCCTGTCATGTGTAGTGATGCAATGATGAGGCGGCAATTCCTCAGGGCCCACCGTTCCAAGCAAGGTTTCTTTTAGCATCCTCTTCAGAAAGCACAAGGGTGTTGTATTCTGCATGACCTGCAGGCACCACCAAAGTGGACCGCTGCACACTACAGCCCCTCCCTGGGACATCCCTGCGGAGCCGTGGTGAAGGGAAATCCTCCCAGTGCCGAACGTCCAGCACTGCACCTGGCTGTTCACTTTGCTTAGAAGGAGAAATGCCCGCATGTGTGATTATATGCGATTCATGGGCTGGAGCCCATGGTTTGTTTGGATGGTCAGGGATTTGGGAAGAACATGATGGGAACATTGAAGACAACAAGGTCTGCGGAAGAGGTGTGTGGATGGACCTCTCTGAATGGGCAAAAGCCATGAAGACAGTTGTGTCACATGTGCATGTTCACTAAAGGCTGACCTCAGCAGAGGAGGATTTTAATAACCAAGTGGATGGGGTGACCCATTCTGTGGACAGTGGTCAGTCTCCTTGCTCAGCCACCTCTGTCAGCGATCCATGGGCTCATGAACAAAGTGGCCGTGGTAACATATACACTCGTGCATACGATTCCCTTTACCAATTTATTTTCACAACAATTCCAGTCAAACCTTAATAAAATTCAAAATCTCTCATATATCACAATTTGACAGGTATCTACTCCCAACGTTTCACCTCACCCGGAACATCAAAATCATTCCCCAAGTTGGTAAGCAATTCCTGGTTATTATAAATTTTAACCTTAACTTGGGGAATGTCACTCCATCACCTATTTTTCATTTCAGAGCCGTCATTGCTATAGCAACAATATTTCTGATGTGGAAATGGAACTGGATTCCTAGGCCTTCTTACCGAAAAATGTTACTTCTCCAGAGTGCTATATGCTCCCCTTATTGTACACCCCAAAATTATTCTGAACATGTGCAGGACTTTACAACACATACTGACCAAAGCCCCCACTGGGTCTCAACAGAAGAAAACTGATCCCACTCTACCACTTACCAATCAAACCCAGGCAGAGGGTCAGGGTGAGGTTCAAATACAGTACAGAAGGCACTGAAAACCTACGATCTTTTACAAAAGATTCTGGTGGGTATATAATTATTTACTTACCAAATTAAAGGCCCCTATTCCAAGTTTGACACCCCCTTCAAACTCATGGAAGAACTGTTGCTCAACTTTGTTCTTCTGAAGTATATGCAGGATAGAAAGACATTCTCTGGATTGAAGACAAAAGTTAGAGCATAAATTTATTATGACTCTGAAAATGATTAAGTCAAATTTCACACTTACACACCATAAAATAATTGTCATTGGCCAAAATTCTAGAAAATATCTAAGTAGATGCTGCTGTGTTGAGCTTTACTTTTAAAGCTATTGCGTAATTATCAGTTAGGAAAAATGGCACGCTCCTTTCTACACTGTTTACCAGGACTAATCCTCTGGGCTTAAAGCAAGAGAGGTTCAAACACCAGCAAGTATGACCCAGGAGACGTAGGACTGCAGAACCTCGGTCTCCCAGCCTCCCACAATGTGGTAGAGGGGACTTCCTGGGTGCAGTTCATTCCCCAGCCACCCTATCTTCCATCAACTAACTGAGATGCTACTGACAAAAAAACCCTGAATTTCAGTGTGATCACCATAGTCTCCAATAGATCAAATGAAATTAGAGCTTGTGACTAGGAAACACTGAAAGAAGAAAGCAAATTCCATCACAATAGCTCCATTTGTCCTCTTATTTTTTCCTGTTCCTCCAAGCAAATCTTACTGATTTCTCACTTTAATATCTTTTCTATGCATTTCTCCCTTTCCCTTCACCTCTTCAAAAGAGAAATGCAAATTAAACTCAATGACAAAGATATAAAATTTATAATAACCAGGAATTACTTACCAAATTGGTAAACATATTTTAAGGACATTAAGAAATAACCAGATATTATGTGTTATGATGTAATTATAATGCATGCACCTATATTATGATGTGTTTAAGTCAAATTTATTTAACCTGAATCTAATAATCCTGTAGCTCAAACTTGCAGATTACAGGAAATATAAGGAGCTATGAACTGAATTATGTCTCACCCCCCACAAATTCATAACCACCCAGTACACTGGTGTGACAATTAGAGAAAATTGAGTAAAGTCAATACATTAGTTCATAATACATTAGTTCATAAATCAATGTTAGTTTCTTGATTTTAATAACTGTACTGTGGTTCTATAAGATGTTAAGTTTTGTGAAACTGAGTAAAGAATATCTGAAAATTCTTATAAAATTCTGAAATTATTTCAAAGTGAAAAAATTTTAAAAACACACAAAAGTTTAAAGGTCTTCGTACTTTAGGATTATAAAAAAACACTTTCCTATGTTTTATTAGTATTCTTTTTAAAATATTCTAATATTAAATCTATATGGAATTTATTTTTGCATAGTCATTTTTTCAAAATGAAGACCAATTTTCCCAAAATCATTTGTTAAAGTCACTGTCTTCCTCCACTGTTCTGAAAGAGATTTATGTATGTATAGGAATTTAGTATATTTTAATACACACAAGTGTGTGTACACGTGCGTACACACACGACGCATCTGTTTCAAAACCCCATGTTCCATTCCACTCGTATATGTCTGTGCCATTATAAGACTATTTTAATTTCTTCAGTTTTTTAAGTTTTGATGACTAGAAGCAATCAATTTTAACATTCATTTATCTCTTCTAAAAATATTTTGAGAGAAAAGCTAAAAACAGTTTATCAGGATCCCACAATCCATCCCCCTCCAGGGTTTTTGAATGGAATATAATTTTATGAAATCATTTTGGGTAAAAGTATCTCTTAAAATACTAAATGCTTCAGTCTGAAAATACACAGGAAAAAATGAAGAACACCAAAAATGGTAGCTATATGGATACATAAAGAAGATGCTAATATAAGACTATTTCAACAAAAGATTGGCACTGCATTGTGAGGTTTATAATATGCATATGTGTACTATCATCAGAATAGTATAAAAGACAACAGGTGGAATATGAAACTATACTTTTGCAAAGTTCTTATATTTTATGTGTAATGGTACAATATTAACTCTAAGTTGACCGTGACAAGAAGTATATTGCAATCACTAGAGCAACTATTAAAAAATTAAAGATGGCTACAGCTGAGAAAATAAAAGGATTATTTACTTTTTTAATTTATTAAAGCAAAAGAAGGGGAAAAACCAATGAGGCAAAGTGAAAAAACAAAATGGTAGTCACAAGTGCAAACATATTGTCATACTGATAAAAATGAAGGACACAATGATGCACAGCTACAAGAAATGCAATTTAAATATTTTTAAAAGGTTTAAAGTAAAAGAATATTTGCCACCCAGACACTAATTATAAAATAGCATGAATAGCTGTATTAATATCAGAAAGAAAAAAAGATTTCAAGACAAGGAATATTATAAGGAGTTAAGTAGGGACAATTCATACTTATAAAAAGGTTAATTTATTGGGAAAATAAACCAATTAAAAATATATAAGCCTAACAACAGAGTTTCTAAATATACAAAGCAAACACTGATGTAACTAAAGGGAGAAATAAATGACTCCAGAATCAAAGTTAGGGAGTTTTAACATTGTGAGTAAATGATAAAACCACTAGATAAAAATCAAAAAGGATACAGAAACTATGAACAACACCATGGTCCACCTTAATTGAACATTTGAATCACTGCAGAAATTCTATTCGGCAATGCTGCTCTAGAGGCTGGGCCAAAGATATACCTGTCATTTTAAATTTATGAATTGTTTGTAGAAGAGAGATACTAAGATTACCTAAACATAAATTATCAGCTAATGTTCAGCTGTTTTCCCTTAAAATTACATTGAAATTTATATTCTGTTGTCCTATAGCAGTGATGGCGAACCTATGACATGCGTGTCACAGGTGACACGCGAACTCATTTTTTTGGTTGATTTTTCTTTGTTAAATGGCATTTAAATATATAAACTAAATATCAAAAATATAAGTCTTTGTTTTACTATGGTTGCAAAGATCAAAAAATTTCTATATGTGACACGGCACCAGAGTTAAGTTAGGGTTTTTCAAAATGCTGACACGCCGAGCTCAAAAGGTTCGCCATCACTGTCCTATAGCAATCAATCAGTAAGCCAGAAATCAAGTGCATTTTTTCCAACATCAAATTAAAAAAAAACCCTAGTCATAAATTTTGAAGTCCAAAATGGTACATAGTACAGGAAAAACCACATGATCGTGGTCAAAAATATAAACTTCCAGTGGTAAGATTTAAAAAGCCCACATCTTAAATTTTAACTTACTTATATATATGGTAACTCGTCCTAATTTTGAGTCCACCTTTGATGAAGTTGATCATATTTTCATCCTGAAAACAATTCAATTAAATAATTAGATCATCTAGCAGGAGATTCTTAAACCTTCCCCACAGCTATGTAGCTGTGTGATCTGAACAAGATACCATCTTTTGAGAACATCATTTTTAAAATTAAAACATTCTTATTGTTTTATATTTGAAATACCATTTTGTCATTTTTTTTCCAAGTTAGAGGACAACAGAAAGGAAACATTTTTTAAATCCTCAAATTACTTTAAGAAAGTAATTAAAGAAATAACTCTCACAATAAGGGGCCATATTGGTGAATACAAACTTACTTTAATGAACTTTCTTCTTGGTTCGACAGAATCCAAAATGGTTGGCCCTAGGAATATAATCTAAGGCCTTTGCCGTCCCTGTCCGTCATACTCCAGTCAATGGGATTCGGTTCTTTTTTCACAGGGTATTTTAATAGACAAAGACCATTTATCATTGTGAGTGTCATTCATATATATTTCCAAACTAAAAATAACTGTTCTGGATTCTAAATTTCTTGTCAATAATATGAAGTTTTGTTTTTTGGGGGAAATGCACTTCTCTTTGCCCAATGGTCATCAACCATCAAATTGAGGCAGTTGGCCTAAATGAACGGCATTTTTAGACTCAGCATTCTAAGATTCCAAAAGTCTCTTTAAAAAGCATATCAAATTAAATGCTTGAAGGAAGTTACTACAGGGTAGCAAAAGGAGGTTTACAGTTGTCTGTATGGGAAATAATACAATAAATAATAATACAATAATAAACTTTGTTTTGTGTACTCACAACTGTAAGCCTACTTTTGCCCCACCCTGTATAATAGATGATGCAAATGGAGATGGTCCCATGGTTCCCATTTCTCAGAACACTTTTCTAAGCTATTAATATCAGAAAAATGCTCTGGTATTTATCTCCTGTGCACTTGAACATCATCTGAAGCAAAAGAAAAATTGACTTTAGTTTACTAATTTCATTAATTACTTAAACATTTAACGTTGAAATTATTATAATATTAATAAATACAAAATTCACTACACAATTTTTATCATTGTATTTTAAGGTATTTTATGATTACACAAATTGCAATAATGGCCAGAAAAAAATGTGCTTAAATTAGATTAAAATCTGCCTCAAATAAGAATATTTTATTTCATGATTCACCAAACATTGGCTGAATGCCTGTTTTACACTAGGGCACCCGGATGCAAAATTAGACGAAAGCAATGCAATGTGCTAAGCAGCGGTTCTCAACCTGTGGGTCGCGACCCCTTTGGGGGCCGAACAACCCTTTCACAGGGGTCGCCTAAGACCATCGGAAAACACATATATAATTACATATTGCTTTTGTGATTAATCACTATGCTTTAATTATGTTCAATTTGTAACAATGAAATTGAGGGTCACCACAACATGAGGAACTGTATGAAAGGGTCGCAGCATTAGGAAGGTTGAGGACCACTGTGCTAAGGGATGGAGGAATGCATGCGGATGGAGACATGCACAGCGGGATGCCATAACAGCACAAAAGTGGGAGGGCTGGAGGACGGGAAGTATTGGTGCTTAAAGCACATGTGTACACACGTACACACACACACACACACACACACACACACTGATTAGGAAGTAGCCTGGTGAAGAAAGGAAAAGCAGATGTAAAGTTTGCAAGCAAAGGAAAATCCAGTGGGAAGGCGAGAAAGCATTACAGGTCATGGGGTGCTTGGCCATCCTCAGCACTGCTGCAGAAATCTACAGCAAAGGGAATGACGAAGGAGTAAGAAAGCCACCTCTACCCAGGCCACTCGAATATGCAACATACCTGCCACCTGAGGCCTTCGGGAAGAGGGGAGCGGGGAACTAGGGGAGATACCGGTTTAGTTTGGAAAAGCCTCCTCCATTTCTGGTATTCTAACACAGAACCACTGCTGTAGTCCATGAGAGCTACTCAAGGCTGAGGCAGAGGAATGACAAGGTGAGGTGCTCATCTTTGAGAGGGAGCTCAATTGCACAATGGAGAATGAGCGGGAGGTCCGAGAAATTAGAGAGTCACGGGGTTGCTGTCCAGCCCAGGGAAGAGCTGAGGCGCACCTCCACTGGACAATTATAATCAGAAGAAAGAGGAAGAGTTGGAGCTGCTAACTCTTCCCAAGGTAAAAGAGGCATGGCCATGAGACTGACTGGATGTGGAGGCGTGCGGAAGAGGAAAACCATGGATATCTCCCGGACGTTTGATTACAAGTATCCAAGCATAACATAAGCCTTCAAATCACAGATGTGGTTGTCAAATCCCCATTTGGGAAACACATCAGAAAAAAGCGAAGGCCTCCGTGACTAACATCATGTTTATTTACTAAGGCGCGAAGACTTGTTTTGGATCAGCCTTCATAATACATTGGATTTTAAGAAACAGGGTCATGGGCCTGATGGATTCAATTTTGCCAAACTAGGATCCAACCTAAGTAGTCACCCTCCAGCAAAAGAGAAAAGCAATTGTCAATACAGTGTGAAACGCTGAGACTGAGGAAGATTCTTTTCATATTACAGCTGAATTTCTACCTCTTACAATCTCCACCCCACGGCTGCCCCACGGTGCCCATCGCCGCCACCCATGCTTTTTAGAAGCATTGGAAGATACAATGATAGGTACTGGTGGCAACGGTCCCTCGAGGTGAAATTAAAATGCCTCCTAGGGAAATGAGTCATGGTTTTGTTAGTGACTTTTAAAAAATGCTCATTCAGAGGAAGAACTAAAAGCAAGACAGGGGAATGAGAAGAGGGAGAGGGAGAAAAATAAAATCTGAAGTATGCATGAAAGGTGTGGCTCTCGGTGCATGCATAACTGAGCTCTGCTGAAGCAGCTGATGCAAGAAGGGAATGGCCAAGGATGAGGGAAGCCTTTCATGCCCGGGCCACTGCTGTGTGCAGCCCTCTACCAAGAAGAGCAAGCACAGAGGGAGAGAGAAGCTCGGTTTTCATACAGAGGAGCATCCTGAAATTAGGTGTGGTACTTGCAAGACAGTTTCTTTAAAAGGCAGTCGTTTCCAGTAGACTGCAGTTTGAAACAGACTCTAAGTACATGTGAATAGGAATAAAGCTCCCTGGTTTATCAGAATAACAAGTATCTTTCATTGCAGCTCTAAGGAAAAAGAACTGAAGCGCTGACATGGAAGGAGCCATGTTTTTCCTATGGAGTTTTGGCAGGCTACCCTACCCCAGCAACATGGACTCCAAAGCAAAGGTTCATTACCTGCACAAAGGTGAGTGCTGCTTTCTGTAGGAGACACTCGGCATAACAGATTTCGGCATGCATTTCCTCTATGAAAAGAAACAAATAAAATCATATTAAGGAAAATCCCAGTGCACAGTAATTGCTCTGAGATGTTCAGAAAAGACTGGTAGATAAATGAGCCCAAGAGAAACGCAAAACCCTAGATTGCCCTGATGCTTCTGTAAAAGTGGAACGATGACCTCCGTTCTCAGTCTCTCCCCAAGATTTTCCCAGAATGTGCAAACTGGCCCAGGAGAGTCATCTTATGGTTCCACTCAAATGTGAGGGCAAGGAGTCGGGCCATTAGTGTCAGGGACCTGAACTCAGCTCGTAAGAGGAAACCAAAACTCAAAAGCATCAAAACCAAAACAGAAAACCGCTTATTTTTAATAGCAATATTCAAGCCTAACAGTTATAAAGATTGAAAAAACTAACTTACATTTGTGAATTCTAGCTTCTAAAATATGAAGGTACGATAATCATGGCAATGATCAGACACAATAGTAACCTGAAAACAGCCATTCCCTAGAGCTCCGTGAAAAAGAACTGTGCTGTGTGCACACGTCATGGCCCCTACACACAAAAGACATGTGAAAAGCGCACGAGCCAGGTTTTAGGCTATGTTGATGGCTGTGACACCGAGCACGGGAACAAAGCCCTGGAACGGGGGCTCTGTGCAGCATGTATATCCCGGGGGCCCGTGGAGCGCCTCAAACACTGGGTCTATCTTCCCAAACAAGACATTACACTTGCAGAGACTGGGGAGAAGCGGGGAATCTTTGCATTTTTGCATGAAAAACATCAGTCGATTCCTGTTTTATCCCTGAGATGCAAATGGGTATTTTATTTAAGTAAATGAGCTTGGGGTGTTCAACAGCCTGGGTTGGAGGAGAGGCTCTGCCAAGTACTCAGCGGTAGGACCTCAAGAAAGCTCCCCGGCCTCTCTCTGCTGGTCTCCTCGTTTGCACGGCCTGGCTACAAGGTCTCTACTGCAGAGCTCAGGAACCGGTGAGGTGCTGGGTGTGGAGCTCACCATTCCGAGAAGCACCTGATACATAAATAAAGCAGGACATTTTGTGTGCTGTAATGAAAAATAGGGTGTTTCTGTGCTAGTGGAAAAGCTGTTGAATTAAACTGGATAAGAACTACTGCTTTTATTTACACACCAGACCCCTGACCTCTGTCACACACATTATTTAAGTAATCCTACACACCACTGGTTTTCACAAATGGGTTCAATAGTGGAAAAGCTGTTGAATTAAACTGGATAAGAACTACCGCTTTTATTTACACAACAGACCCCTGACCTCTGTCACACACACACACTACACACCACTGGTTTTCACAAATGGGTTCAACGTCCTGCCATGCTCATATTCCACAGACTGAATTTACAAAAAAAGCAACTCTGCCGCTAAGATCCCCCACGAGCACCCATAAGGATGGGCCGCACTTGAGGAGTGATGGCCTGTGCACATCCCAGCAGCATCGACAGGGTCTCAGTCCTTCGAAACACCCCACCTCCACGTGTGCTTTTGGACTTTCCCGGTGTATTCAGTCGATAAAAACGGGCAACTTCTATTTGTAGAGTCACCTGACTATCCTCTCCCCCGTGTACACTTGTAACGAAGCGGGCATGGTTAGGAACTATTCACTTTGAAAGCCTGCTCAGTAACCCAGACGGTTGGCGTGGGGCAGGTGCCGCGGGGGAAGCTGCCGTTGGGCGAGGAAAGTGCAGACCACTTGCAGGTGTGCCTGTGGCTGAAGCACCAGGTGTAAAGGGAGGCGTGGCCACTGAGTCTGGAAATGTTAAGTCGAAGCTAAATTATGGACAACCCTGAATGTCAGAGTCGGGGCTCGATTCGGGGGAGTCCTCGCACAGGATCTGGGCAGAAGGGTGGCAGGGTCAGAGTTACGTTAAAGACAGACAAATCTATCAGCAGCTGAAGGATGTAAGCAGAAAGCAGAGATAAAAGGCAAGGACGTTTGAACTCTATGTACTATACGTACATATTCTTCACATTAAATCCCTCTCCCATCCTAAGCACTGCCTATAACTATGTGTTCCTCAAGGCAATTCAAAAGCCATCAGGGCAATATGCCAGCCACGAGAGAAGGACGGGTGTGTTCCATGTTAAACCCATGAAAAGTTTAATTAACTATATTTCCTCCTGCACCCAACCAGCCACTCAAGGATGTAAATGAAAATTACCAAGAGGAAAAACAAATCACACGCTAATGCTACAATGTTTTGACATGCTCCCTTGAACACAAAGTCTGTTTGGATTGCACTGGCAGCCAAATTCATTAGGAATAAATGCAACTTAATTTGTGAAAGTCTTATTTCTTCGATGTCTTAGTTCACTGAAGGAAATACCTTCATTTTGCATAGACATGCTAGCTAAGCATGCCTTTGGGTATAAAAGTCTAAGTAAGCCTATATTTCAGAATAGGCTATAGTCATAAGTTCACTTTATTTTTTTAACTTATGATTATTAATTTTTATTTTTTAGAGCAGTTTTACTAGTAGACTTCACAGCAAAACTGAGTGCATGGTACAGATTCCCCACATAACCTCTACCCCCACACATGCATAGTCTCTCCCACTATCAACAATCCTCCCCTCCCCAGGAATACATTTGTTACAATTGATGAATCTCCATTGGCATCATAATCACCCAAAGTCCATAGTTTACACAAGGCCTCACTCTTGGTGTTGCACATTCTCTATGTTTGGACAAACGTACAATGACATGTATTCACCAGTATGGTGTCTTACAGGGTGGCTCAGTGCCCTAAAAATCCTCCATGTTCTACCTATTCACGCCTCCACATGATCCCCCCGCAGCCACGGATCTTTTCACTCTCTCCGTAGTTTTGACTTTTACAGAATGTCATATACTTGGAGTCATACAGTATGTAGCCTTTTCTGATTGGTGTCTTCTGCTTAGTAATATGCATTTAAGGTTCTTCCATGTCTTCCCATGATTTCATAGCTCTTTCTTATTCTTAGTGCTAAATAATATTCCATTGTCTGGATGTTTATCTACTCACCTACAGAAAGACATCTTGGTTGCTTACAAGTTTGGGCATTTATGAATAAAGCTGCTATAAACATTCATTTGCAGGTTTTTGTATAGACATAAAGTTTCAGCTCTTTGAGGAAATATTAAGGAAAGTGACTGCTGGATTGTATGGCAAAAGTATGTTTAGTTTCACAAGAGACTGCCAAACTAGCTTCCAAAGTGGCTGAACCATTCTGCATTCCCATCAGCCATGAAGGAGAGTCCCCGAGGCTCCACATCCTCGCCAGCATTTCCTGTGGTCAGTGTTCCAGATTTTGGACATTCTAACAGGTGTGTAGCAGTGTCTCATTGTTGTTTATTTTTTAATATTTAGTAAAAAAGCATTCCAGATTTTCTAAAGTGCTATGTCCAAAGACATAATAAAAAGATCAGAACACAGAACCATCTATTTTCAACATCTCTAATGCAGGAACAATTCAACATTTCCCTTATCCATATACTAGAGGCCCGGTGCACAAAAATTTGTGCACTCGGGGGGGGGCAGGGGGGTCCCCCAGCCCAGCCTGTGCCCTCTCGCAGTCTGGGACCCCTCGGGAGATAACGACCTGCTGGCTTAGGCCTGCTCCCGGGTGGCAGAGGGCACGCCCAATCCCTAGGTGCAGCCCCTGGTCAGGCTCAGAGCAGGGCCGATTGGGGAGTTGAGGCACCGCCCCCTGTCATGCACAGAGCAGGGCGGATCGGGAGGTTGAGATGCCACCCTCAGTCACACTCAGGGTAGGGCCGATTGGGGGGTTGGGGCACCGCCCCCTGTCACACTCAAGGCAGGGTCGATGGGGAGGTTGCAGCGCCACCCCCTGTCACGCACAGAGCAGGGCCGATCAGGGGGTTGAGGAGCTCCCCCCTGTCACGCACAGAGCAGGGCGGATAGGGAGGTTGTGGCCCCGCCCCCTGTCACACACAGAGCTGCAGGGCGATCAGGGGGTTTGGGCGCTGCCCCCTGTCACGCTGATCCCGGTGCTGGGAGGCATATTACCCTTTTACTATATAGGATAGAGGCCTGGGGGCCGGCTGGTTTGCCCTGAAAGGTGTCCTGGATCAGGGTGGGGGTCCCCACTGGGGTGCCTGGCCAGCCTGGATGAGGGGATGATGGCTGTTTGCAGCTGGTCACACACTCTTCAGGGTGGGGGTCCCCACTGGGGTACCTGGCCAGTCTGGGTGAGGGGCTGAGGGCTGCTTTCAGGCTGGCGGTTGTTGACTGAAGCTCCCAACCGCTCCTTTTTTTTCCTCTTTTTTAATTTTATTCTGGGCCAGCTTTAGCTCTGGCTCTAGCTCTGAGGCTTCGTATCTGGTTTGTTTGCCGTTCTATAATCGAAACAATGTATAACTTCAGCTCTGAGATCCCAGCAGGCTGAAAGCTGGTTTCTGGGGTTTTGTTTAGCTTCTTATTTGCAACATAGTACATAGTTGCTTAGAGTTGCAACTCAGAGGCCGGCAAGTCAGGCGGGGAACGTTGGAGTCTGCAGTCACTGGAGCAAGCAAGCCTCATGTTCGCTTCCAGCTGCCTGGCTGCCGGCCGCCATCTTGGCTGACAGTTAATTTGCATAAGGATATGCTGATTAGCCAATGGGAAGGGTAGCGGTCGTACGCCAATTACCATGTTTCTCTTTTATTAGTGTAGATACTGACACTAAAAATACTGTTATTCTTCCCAAAACTAAGGTAAAAAAAAACAAAAAAAAAAACAACAACCCTCAAATGTCAGCCTTCATATTAAAAAAAAAAAAAAAAAAGGAAAGCTGAAGGCAACAGGCCAATGGAGAGAAACCAGACCATTTAAATTCCCACTGACCGACTTTAGTGGCCTTTAGGATTACTGGGGCCAATTTACATCAATGACCCAAAGATGGAAAATATGAAGCCATATTCTACCCAAAATCAAGGGGATAAAGAAAATTCTTATGGGTTCCTACAGGTTATTTTCTGGAGAAAAAGGTAGTGGGCTCCAGCTGCCTGGAGTGACACAGGAAATGCCGTTCTGTTCTGTAATGGTTTAAGGGTCGACATCATACCCTTTAGGAGCAAGTCCCATAGGCCTCTCCTGTAATCAGTGCCTAGCCTCACATCTTACAAATGTTCCCAAGTTCTTCAATGTTTACAACAGGTTGGTGATAATGTTCTTCTAACAAAATAAGACCTCACAATACAACACATTAAAAAACTGTGTCTGGCCCTGGCCATTTTGGCTCAGTGGATAGAGCATCAGCCCATGGACTAAAGGGTCCCAGGTTCGATTCCAGTCAAGGGCACGTACCTCAGTTGCAGGCTCAATTCCAGATCCTGGTCAGGGCATGTGTGGGAGGCAACCAATAGATGTGCCTCTCTCACATCCATGTTTCTCTCTATCTCCCCCTCACTCTCTCTAAAAATCAATGGAAAAATACTCTCAGGAGAGGATTAACAAAAAATAATAAAAATAAATAAAAAACTGTGCCTGACATACATGTGAAGACCAGGCATGACTCTGACAGAATAGTCTGGCCTTAATCAGCCACAGCCACTTCCACTATTGAAGTTACCTCTTCCAGGGAGTCAGTTTGACAATGACGACAGGTGCACAAATTCTCCTTGGATGCCAGAGCTTTACTCTAGGCTGGCCACAGCTGAAGAACATGATTTTCTCCTCTGCAGGACATCTGGGTGCTCTTTTCTTAGAAACAATTCTGACTAGAGTGTCACACTTATAAAATAGAGCTGATCAGGGACCTTCTACCCTCATCTCAGTGGGAACATAAAGGAATTGACAACAAAAACAGTCATTCCTTTCCCTCTCCAACTAATCAAAGTGCTATGGCCATTCCTGGATTCTCGACTATTTCCTAAATATCCACAAACCAAACATCGTCCATATTGTGAAACATAATCAATGTGTGTTTTTTAAGATATTGGAATTACTCCTTTTAACCTTGAAAACAATTTAATAGCTTGCAGAAAAATAGCAACTCGCATACATGGGTGGTAAAAATATAAACTGACCTAACTCTTTGGAGAAAACACAGGTAGCATCTATAAATATTAACAACTTTCAAATCCTAAGTCCCAGTCATTTCACTTTTAGGACTTTACCCTCTGAAACACTTACAAAAATGTATGAAGACATAGGTTCTAGAATTTTAGGGCATGCTCCAGCCGGGTGGCTCAGTTGACTGGAGCATCGTCCCATACACCTAAATGTAGCAGGTTTGGCACCAACAAAGATGGCAGTTAATTTGCATATGTAGGCAGGAAACGGCGGAGTGAAGCCTGAAGGTGGCTTTAAAGGCGGCTCCGGCTGGAGCAGTGATCAAAGCAGGTCCGGCCGGAGCAGCGAAGGCTTTGAAGGCGGCTCTGGCCAGAGCGAAGGCCTGGGTCCCCGGTGCTGAAGGAAAACCAGTGCAGGCAGCCAGGGGAACCTAAATATCCACAAACCAAACATCGTCCATATTGTGAAACATAATCAATGTGTGTTTTTTAAGATATTGGAATTACTCCTTTTAACCTTGAAAACAATTTAATAGCTTGCAGAAAAATAGCAACTCGCATACATGGGTGGTAAAAATATAAACTGACCTAACTCTTTGGAGAAAACACAGGTAGCATCTATAAATATTAACAACTTTCAAATCCTAAGTCCCAGTCATTTCACTTTTAGGACTTTACCCTCTGAAACACTTACAAAAATGTATGAAGACATAGGTTCTAGAATTTTAGGGCATGCTCCAGCCGGGTGGCTCAGTTGACTGGAGCATCGTCCCATACACCTAAATGTAGCAGGTTTGGTTCCCAGTCAGGGCACATACCCAGGTTTGGGTTTGATCCCTGTGGCATCTGATTGATGTTTCTCTCTCACATCAATGTTTCTCTGTCTCTCCCTCCCTCTCCCTTCCTCTCTCTCTCTAAAATAAATGAAAACATACGCTCGGGTGAGGATTTTTTAAAAAAATAATTTTAGGACAGCATCATTTGTAATAGTGAAAAAATAAAAACAATTCAACTGTAATTCAATAGATAAAACCAAGTAATTTACAGTACCCCATCCAGTGGAGTACTACATAACTATTAAACAGAATGAAATACAAGTTATATATACTGACATGGGAAAACATCAATATCCCAAAGAATAACATTGTAGAACAATATATACTGGTATATTATGTAATTCTATGCTTGCAAAAATGATTAATACTTGAACAACTACAAACACCCCACATCTACCTTGTGTATATTTATATATCTATATATATGTATATATATATGTAAATATATATATACATATCTCCTCTGCAGGACATCTGGGTGCTCTTTTCTTAGAAACAATTCTGACTAGAGTGTCACACTTATAAAATAGAGCTGATCAGGGACCTTCTACCCTCATCTCAGTGGGAACATAAAGGAATTGACAACAAAAACAGTCATTCCTTTCCCTCTCCAACTAATCAAAGTGCTATGGCCATTCCTGGATTCTCGACTATTTCCTAAATATCCACAAACCAAACATCGTCCATATTGTGAAACATAATCTCCTATCTAATAATAGACAAACAGGGTAATTGACCATACCTTCGCTACGCTTCCCATTGGCTAATCAGTGAGATATGCAAATTAACCACCAACAAAGATGGCAGTTAATTTGCATATGTAGGCAGGAAACGGCGGAGTGAAGCCTGAAGGTGGCTTTAAAGGCGGCTCCGGCTGGAGCAGTGATCAAAGCAGGTCCGGCCGGAGCAGCGAAGGCTTTGAAGGCGGCTCTGGCCAGAGCGAAGGCCTGGGTCCCCGGTGCTGAAGGAAAACCAGTGCAGGCAGCCAGGGGAAGGGAAGGCCTGTTGCACGAATCTTTTCATGCAACAGGCCTCTAATATATATATTAGATTCTGTATATATATATACATACAGAAAAGTCTGCAAGGCTTCAAAACCAACTCCTACCAGTAGTTACTTCTGGAAGGTATGATAGGGAAGAGAAAAAGACATTCCATCTACTTTATATGATATATTTAAGTATTGGCTCTTATGAGGAGCATGATCCTGTTTTGATTTTTCAAAGGAAGGAAAAAATATAATCTTTTAAATGACTCTTACCTTCGGTCATCTGTTCCAATGATCCTCTAGAAAGAAGACTTGAGAAAGATTCTACAACCGTGCTTTTTTTCCTATATCTGCATAGAGTAAGCAGGAGGGAAGGAAAGAGGAAGAAGTAACAAGAAATTAGCCCGAGCTCATTTTCACTCGACATTCACTTCAGTCACAATCACACCAGAGAGTCATGAAGGCAGGCAGAGCTCAACACTACCGTCCCCAGGGCAGAGACCACCCTGGGCAGCACTGCAGCCCCACCTCCCAGCACTGGGCTGGCATGCGGGGGTGCTCAACCCCTGCTCGCTGAACACGTGAGTGGACAGACCCGCACAAAACAGTGACCCCAACCTGCCAAGCACCCCCCTAGATCTGTGGCTGAACTCAGCATTTCTGTGGTAAGACTCACCACAGATAAAGAATGAACTTAAGACCGCAATATTTGAAAGCTCTCTCTTCATGTGTGGGGCCACAAAATTAGGTGAGTATGTAATTCCACCAGGGTTAAAATTCGCCAATGCTAGCTAACAGCTTTTGCCAGGGTCTTCCTATGGACACAGAGCAAAGATTAAAATAAAATTGGAAACCCATCTCATTTTCACCAACCAAAGTGTTCAACTACATTCTTTGTAAGCAAATAAAACATTCCTTTCTGAATTGGCAGCATCCCCTACAAAGAGAAGAATGTGCCTTGCTTGGCCTGGTTCGGGTTGCGGTAAGTAAACTCACCACAGGGAGACCCTGGAGCTGCTTGCTGCTAACCCCACTGAAATCTCAGCCCTGCTGGGCACTTCAAGTTACCACAAATGCCCCTCGTTTGGACACATGAGAAGCGTACTCTAATTCCTCATAGGGATTTTGGTCTCTATTACATAAAACTACATGAGGCCAAGAAAGCTTTGGAGCTCAAGTCCTTTTCTTACAACGGTGGCCAACTTCCAATAGCTCTCAGTCAGGCAAACCGCATTCATTTAATCACACAGACATATAGGTTTATAGTCATATCTCAAGCATGTAATTACTGAGTTCATACTTTTGGCAGGTTTGCAAGGCGTCCCTCATGGCAGAAATGCCATTTTGGATGTCCTGTTGCTCGAAGGTCATGATGGCCTGCAATACCACAATGGTACTGTAGCCCAAGGCATGGTACATGCTGTCCTTAGCCCTGGGGGCAACACAGGGAAATAGCACATTTCAATTCAAACTGGAAAGCATTGAGGTCTAGTCTGATAGTCATCATGAGAAATCCTAATACATGCATGTCTTGACTTTCACAGTGATAATCTTTACTCCTTTGCCACAGTCCCTGAAAGCATAGGAACTATAAAAGACGGGCCCTAAAACACTCCCGTATCAAGGATTTAACAATTTAAGCTCACACAGGCAGCACAGAACACTGCAGGCTGAAAGAAAGAGTCAAGATGCTTTTCCCTGTTTCAGCACAAGGGGGCAGCCTGCGGGTTCATTTCCTAGAAAACATTTCAAAGCAAACCGCTTTTCGCCAGTTGAACCAGGGGCAGTGTGCTGCCTTTAGCTCTGATATCAGTGCTACAATAAAAGCCACTAGGAATATATTTTGTGACGGATTCTGATATTTTTTGAAAGATAAAGACTCATTAAAAATTGCCCCCTCTCTGCCCTAACCGGTTTGGATCAGTGGATAGAGCCTTGGCCTGCGGATTGAAGGGTCCCAGGTTCAATTCCCGTCAAGGGCATGTACCTTGGTTGTGGGCACATACCCAGTAGGGAGTGTGCAGGAGGCAGCTGAATCAATGTTTCTCTCTTACTGATGTTTCCAACTCTCTATCCCTCTCCCTTCCTCTCTGTAAAAAAATCAATTAAAAATATATTTTTAAAAAAATTGTCCCCTCTCTGCCCTAGCTGGTTTTGCTCAGTGGATAGAGCATCAGCCTGAGGATCAAAGGATCCCGGGTTTGATTCTGGCCAAGGGTATATACCTTGGTTGCAGGCTTCTCCCTGCCTCAGGCCCTGGTCAGGGCTTGTGTAGGAGGCAGCCAATCAATGTGTTTCTCTCACACCAATGTTTCTCTCTGTCTTTCCCTCTTTCTTCCCTGAAAAATCAATGGAAAAATATCCTCGAATGAAGAATAACAAAACAAAAAAAAATTGTCCCCTTTCCTCTCCCAGCAAGAGGCAACATTTTTGCAATAAAGTTAGGTAGGCTGACAAAAGCGCATTTTAAACTCCATCTCTAACCTAATCCCATTATCTGAGATTCCTGATTAAAGCTCTTGATAATTCACATTACCAGTGAGAATCACTTAGATTCTTAGGAAGGTCAACTAGTCCTGATGTATGGCAGACACCCCAGATTCTCAGGCTGTGAAAAAACCTCACCATCACTTTTCTTAAAACTTCTTAAATTACGTTAATTACTTATAAGATGTAAAATGTCAATGCACGATTCTGGTTTTAATTCAAATATTATCACAACAGCCTGCTGCTGTGCAAAACAAGTGCAAGCCACTTTATTCTCTTCCCCCACGGACATAGACTAAACATCCTTCGGTAATTTGCAGCTTGTCCTGAACAGTGAGGGCACTGGTTGTTCAAAAGGACCACAAGGAATAAGAGCAGCCCAAAGTTAATCAGTAACTGGGGTTTTAGACCTCATATTTAAACCGAAAGGTCCTCCAAGAGGAAAAAAAGTATTCAAGTAGGAAAAATAAGATCAGAGAATCTATAGCTCCATTAAATACAATACTAAATCATTTCTTTTCATTCCATATTATGTCCACCTGATTTCAGTGGCAAAGGAAAAAAAGGAGACGTGTTTTACTGAAAAAGAAGGAGACGGGCAGGCAGGCTGAGAGAGGAGAGACAAAGAAAAAAATACATACAGAGAAAAGACAGGGAAAGGTAGAGACACAAGATAGAGAGATGGAGAAGTCATTGGGCGAAAAGGTAGGAGAAAGGCAAGGTAGAGGATGCGAGACAAGCAATGGAGACAGCACTGGACAATTTCTATAGGCTACAGGCTTCACCATCTATCTATAATAATAAAAGCATAATATACTAATTCCGGAAAGCTGAATGACCTTCCAGATGTCCTTCTGGATGACCTTCTGGATAAAGCCGGGGCTGCGAGGGCCAAGCCTCTTGCACAAATTTCATGCACCAGGCCTCTAGCTTTAACATATATTCCTAACCTCTGAAATGCTAATTGATCAAGATCATCTAAATCTGAATAGAACTGCCTTCGCAGTTTCTCAGTAGGTAAATCCATTTCTAAGATTCAAGGTCAAGGACAAGAATCACATCACCGCCCTGACCGGTTTGGCTCAGTGGATAGAGCGTCGGCCTGCAGACTGAAGGGTCCCAGGTTCGATTCTGGTCAGGGGCATGTGCCTGGGTTGCGGGCACATCCCCAGTGGGGGGCATGCAGGAGGCAGCTGATCGATGTTTCTCTCTCATCGATGTTTCTGATTCTCTGTCCCTCTCCCTTCCTCTCTGTAAAAAAATCAATAAAATATATTAAAAAAAAAAAAAAAGAATCACATCACCCTACTGATGGCTCAAAAGAATAAGATTCCCACTTTTGTGCCCAGCTAAGCTTCTAGAAAATTATGAGGTCTAAGCTTAACCCAAGGAAGTGACTGTGTCTGAAGAAACAATGTGAGAGTAAGCATTCCTGTCAAGCTATAGTTACACCACGGGGCTGGGGACTGTGGTCAAAGTGAGGCCTAATAAGAAGGCTGAGCACAGAGGGGAAAAATTAACAGGAACTATTAACTGAAATTAAGTTGTTTAACCTAAGTTTATCACATAAGCAGGGAGTCCCGATAATATTTATATCATTTTAAATGTTAGCACTTGAGATAAGCATTTCTAGTTCTTCCCTTTCCCAATTCAAAGGAACCTCTTCTCAATTATATTTAAGGTTAAGAGGAACATCCGTAAAAATAGTTCACTGACGAAAGCAAAATGGAGCTCTACAAAACTACATAAATGACACTATTTAAACAAATATAGAAATTAAAGGATGAGAAAAAATCAGAAATTTTCTACTGAATAAAGTTGAAAAGACAGATTTCTTAACTGGATATTAAGAGGTCTCAAATATTTAGGTGGAAACACAAATAAATTAACTGACAAGTATGGCATAAAAGACATGAATGTTATCAAAAACATGTGAAAAAATATATTTTACCTAAAAGAAATAAAGTTAATTACCATGGTTGAAGCAATTCTAAGGCATCTTTAAATTTGTTATTCAGAAATAATTTCAGTGCCATTTCACATTCTTCCAGGCCATTCTTGAGATCCACCTTGGTTGATGATGACCTAAAGATCAAGAAAAATATATATGTAATTTCTATAGTTTTTACTATTAGCAAGTTGTCTCAGGGAGTGTGTGTGTGTGTGTGTGTGTACACACATACTTTGCATACAGATAGGCTAAAAATTCTAACTCTGCCACTTACTAGCAGTGTCTTGAACCTCTGGGAGCTGACTTTCTCATCTGTAAAATGGGACACCACACCCTACTTCATGGGGCCATTGTGAGGATGGAGTTTATGACAAATATGGCTCATTGCGGGCAGTGAATAAATGATAGTTTCCCCCCCCCCCCCCCCCCCATCACTCCACCACAAGTAGAGGAACTGCCTTTTTTCATGGGAGAGGCCAAGGTTATTTGTTTTCGTTTGGCTATATAAAGGGGAGAAATGTGCTTCAGTGGAAAACTGAATTGTCTAAGGGAGACCCCTCCTAGTTACTTGCTTTCGATTTTATGGTAGTTTTCTTACAACTCTGTGAGTTGTAAGTAACTGATAGCAATGCAAACTATTTGTTGTTTATAGACATATCAATTTAGTCCCAGCCAGTAGAGGTTCAACTGACTTCCCTCCAGTGTAAAAGAAGCTAGTTGTTCTTGAATTTACACATTCATTTCAACACTTTTCAGTCCATATAAATTTGTGCTGTCTTCATTTCTCCTTTGAATCTGCTATAACATCTGCCTAGTTCCTTCATTGATTAATGAGTTAAGTAAAGTCTTTCAAACGTGGTGATTTCTATATCTCTATGAGAGTCATGATTATATATTATTTGGAAATTATCTGTTAATTAATTATTGATAGAAATATTTCGGTAAGCAAATGAGTAGGACAATTTATTTCAAAGTACTTCATGTTGAATTTCCATGCCTCCAACCTCTCCAAATTCATTCTTTCAAGCATGAAAACAAAATCTTACCAGTTACTCATCTACCAAAAATGGGTTCTGAAGGTTCTACAGGAAACGGTCCTTTGCCTCTAAAACTTCTCATGGCTGGTTCCTTCCTGTTATTCAGATCTTAGCTCAAGAAGCATCAACTCAGAACTGCCTCAGTGACCCCACCCATACTGTCTCACTGTTTTTTCACTCTACACCACTCATTACCATCCCCCGTGTCCCATGCAGCATTTTGGACATGTTTGTCTTTGTCTATCTTCCTGCCCTAGAACACAAATGCAAGGAGGTTGTTCTAGTCACTGCTGTGCCACCAGCATCTTCAGTGAGATCTAGAACATAGCACATACTCATTCAATATTGTTGAGCTGGTGGCTGGGTGGGTGGTTAGGTAAAGCTGATCTGGGTAGGAACACAGAATTCCTCATGCCTAGAGCTTGAAGGTGGTGCCGAAATGAGACAAGTTCTTGGTGGAGGGGTAGCTGAAGAGCTGAAAATTTGTGATGGTTAATTTTATGTGTCAACTTGACTGGACAAAAGGGATGTCCAGACAGCTGGTAAGACACTATTTCTGGATGTGTCTGTGAAGGGTGTTTCTAGAAGAGACTAGCTGTTGAATTGGTGAACTGAGTAAAGCAGATGGCCCTCCCCAGTGTGGGTGGGCATCACCCAATCCACTTTATCCAGTTGTCCATCGATGGATTGCTTCTATATCTTGGCTATTGTAAATAATGCTGCAGTGAACATAGGGGTGCATATATCTTTTCATATTAGTGTTTTGGATTTTTTTGGATAAATACCTAGAAGTGGGAATGCTGAGTCATATGTTAGTCCTATTTTTAATTTTTTGAGGTAACTCCATACTGCTTTCCACTGTGGCTGCACCCGTCTGCATTCCCACCAGCAGTGCATGAGGGTTCGCTTTTCTCAACATCCTCCCCAACACTTGTTGTTTGTTGATTTATTGATGATAACCATTCTGTCAGGTGTGAAGTGATATTTCATTGTGGCTTTTTTTTCCTTTATTTATTGATTAAGGTATTACATATGTGTCCTTATCCCCCTATTGCCCACCCACCCCCGCTCATGCCCTCACCCCCCTGGTGTCTGTGTCCATTGGTTATGTTTTTGTCTGTGTCCATTGGTTATGTTTATATGCATGCATACAAGTCCTATGGTTGATCTCTCCCCCTTACTCCCACCCTCCCCTACCTTCCCTCTGAGGTTTGAGCATCTGATCGATGCTTCTCTGTCTCTGGATCTATTTTTGTTCATCAGTTTTTGTTGTTCATTATAGTCCACAAATGAGTGAGATCATGTGATATTTATCTTTCTCTGACTGACTTATTTCGCTTAGCATAATGCTTTCCAGGACCATCCATGCTGTTGCAAATGGTAGGAGTTCCTTTCATTGTGGCTTTAATTTGCATTTCTCTGATGATTAATGACATAGAGCATCTTTTCATATGTCTATTCACCATCTGTATGTCCTCTTTGGAGACATGTCTATTTAGATCCTCTGCCTGTTTTTTAATTGGATTGTTTGTTTTTGGGTATTATGTTATATCAGTTTCTTACATATTTGGATATTAAGCACCATTAGATGTATCGTTGGTGAATATCTTCTCCCATTCAGTAGGTAGTCTTTCGGCTTGTTGATTGTTTCCTTTGTTGTGCAAAAACCCTTTAAGTTTGATTTAGTCCCACATTTGTTTATATTTCCTTTTGTTTCCTTTGCTTAAGGAGACATATCCAAAAAAAATATTACTAAGAGCCATGCCAGATATTTTACTGTCTATGTTTTCTTCTAGGAGTTTTATGGTTTTGGGTCTTACATTTAAATTTAAGTCTTTAATCCACTTTGAGTTTATTCTTGCAGTATATCGTGTAAGAAAGTAGTCGTTTACTTCTTTTTTTTTTTTTTACATGAAACCATCCAGTTTTTCCAACATCATTTATTGAAGAGGCTGTCTTTACCCCATTGCATATTCTTCCCTTCTTTTTCATAGATTAATTGACCACATAGGCGTGGGTTTATTTCTGGATTCTCCATTCTGTTCCATTAATCTATGTGTCTGTTTTTATGCCAATACCATGCTGTTTTAATTACTATAGGATACTTTGATATCAGCATGAAACCTCCACCTCTGTTCTTCTTTCTCCAGATGGCTTTGGCTTTACCAGCACTTCTGTCTGGGAGAAAGCTGCCCCTCCAGTTCTTGGCACTTTCGAGCTGCTGGAGCTCAGAGCAAAGGAGTCCATCAGTGAGTAAGGCCCCGCACAGACCCTTTATGAGGAAAGCCTGGGATCCCAGCTACTTTTCATCTTATCAGGATGCACAAAATCCCTGCTGATTTTCACAGCCAGAAGTTGTGGGGACTCCTCTTCCCAGGCTGGAGAGTCCAGTGTGGGTCTGAAACCCCTCGCTCCTTAGGGGGAACCTCAACAACCGACATAGCCCCACTGATTCTTAACCGCCACACCTGGGTGTGGAACCAGACTGTTTTGTGTCCAGCCCTCCTACTGGCTTCAACTTGGCTTCTTTATATCCTGTTTATGAGTTCTGTTAGGCCAGTCTTCAGGTGGTTCTCAAGGGTGTTGTTCTATAATTTAGTTGTAATTTTGATGTGTTTGCAGGAGAAAGCAAGTGCAGCATTTAACTACTCCGCCATCCTGACCGAACTTCCTTTATATGTCTCTAACCTCTTCTTTTCTGACCCCTTTTCAACTCAGAAACACAAATCTTATTTCTACTTAATGGTAACCAAGCAAAAAAAGGTAACTTTCCTTCACTCTTGTTTTCTCTCTTAACACCATACCCTTTATTTAGTACTGCTTTTGGTAATTTTTTTAGTATTTTATTACAGCTTTCAAACTCAGCATTATAAATGTGTTGAAAATTTAGACCACTATTAACTTTTCAGTATTATCAACTGTGCTGTACTAAATTTCCTTAATCATTTATCCCTATATATTAATTTTTTAGGATAAATTCCTATAAATTTTGCTCAGTCAAATAATGTGTACATTTTTGAAACTTGTCTTTAAAAAAATTTTTTTTATTGATTTCATAGAGGAAGGGAGAGGGAGAGAGAGATAGAAACATTAGTGATGAGAGAGAATAGATTGGCTGACTTCTACATTCCTCCTACCTGGGATCAAAGCTGCAACCTGGGCATGTGCCCTGACCGGGTATCAAACTGTGACCTTCTGGTCCAGCTTTAACAGAGTTGCCTTAATAACTGATAAAGGAATAACCTACATGTTAAAAAGAAACAACTAGTTAATTCCAGAATAGGCAGGAAAGGAACAGAACTTAGCAATTAAATTTGATATTATATAAAATACTTAAGGAAAAGAAAAAATGTCATGATTAACTAAGTTTTAAAAAGCAGAATACTAAACAATATATTTAATATAATCCCAATTAAGCAAAAACAAAAGTTAGTATCTTTATATACAAGGGGGAAAAGAAAGAATATACATCTAAAAAATTGTTGTGGTAGTTATGGTGATAGTAGTACATATTTTATTCTTTATGATTTTTCTATATTTCCTGAATTTTCTATAATGAACATTTTTTTAAATGCACTTTTAAGCCAAGATTACAAGAAGAATATTATTAGAAAAATAATCATAATATAATACTGACTGAAAACTCTTTGGTTATATCCATTTCAAGAAACACATGCCCAGGGAAAAGACTGGAATGAAAGACACCAAAATTCTAACAGTCTGTATTAAAGCCATAATGACAATTTATGTTTCCCCTTCCTCCATTTTCCCTGATGCCTGGCAATGTGGTAATATTATTTTATTTAAAAATTAATGGTTTGCCCTAGCTGGTTTGGCTCAGTGGATATAGCGTCGGCCTGCAGACTGAAGGGTCCCAGGTTCGATTCGGTCAAGGGCACATGCCCGGGTTGCAGGCTCGATCCCCAGTAGGGGGTGTGCAGGAGGCAGCCAATCAATCAATCCCTCTCATCATTGATGTTTCCATCTCTTTCTCCCTCTCCCTTTCTCTCTGAAATTAATAAAAAAATATATATTTTTAAAAATTAATGGTTTAAAAAATTTGAGGTAACAAAGACACAAAGGGAACTGTGCCGCAGAAGTTTTAATTTCGTTTTGTTCCTGCTTTTATGTAACAGTGACACCTAGTCACTGAGTCCCTTAGCCTCCTTCCCTAATTTGTAAAATGGGCCCTCTACCTGCCTGGGCCTCTCCTCTCCCCACAGATCAATAAAACACAGAGCCTGTTCTGACATCAGCATTGCAGTTCACTGAAGGGTAGGACTGGTCCCCCCAGGAATGCTCACACCCTTTCTGACCTGCTCGCCTTGGATGGTCGGTGCTGTCCGGAGGCCTGTTTTGCATCCAGTGATGCCAACTGAGGTCTGCTTGTTGCCATATCTGTGCGAAAAGGCCTGTTAATAAAGAAGACAGAGTGAGGTGTCTTACAGGAAACGTTCACATAAACTTCAGTACACACACAAGTCCTTCAATTATTTACTGCATCTCACCTCCATTTCTTTTTTTTAAGATTTTTTAAATTGATTTTTGGAGAGAGAGGAAGGGAGAGGGAGAGAGAAACATTGGTGTGAGAGAGAAACATGGATCGGCTGCTTCCTGTACACCCCCTACTGGGGATCCAGCCAGCAACCTTTCAGGGCCACGCCCAACCAACTGAGTAACATCAGCCGGGGCATCTACATTTCTTAGCAATTTAGAAAAACTGTTCAGTTACATGGTGAACATTCCTGAAATATAGCACCAATAAAATAAACTTATTTTTCTTTTATTCTAGTGCGCACACACACACACACACACACACACAAAAAGAACTGAAATCATCCCCCACAGCTCTCCATCCACACACAGCATTGTATCTTGTATATATCCTTGCATATCTTTTCCCAAGTAAATCTACACATATATTTTTATATTTTACTAGAGGTCCAGTGCACGAATTCATGCATGGGTGGGGTTCCTCGGCCTGGCCAACGATCAGGGCCAATAGAGGCTGATCGGGGCCAGCTGGCCAGAGGGAGGGACCGCGGGAGGTTGGCTGGCCAGGGAAGGTTGGCTGTGGGAGCACACTGACCACCAGGAGCAGCTCCTGCGTTGAGCATCTGCCCCCTGGTGGTCAGTGCACATCATAGCGACCAGTCGTAACAGTCGCTTAGGCTTTTATATATATAGATTAAAATGGAATATTATAGTAGAGGAGAAAAAAGTTTTCTTTGACCCTCTTAGGGTCCCTGGTTGGGTCTGAAAAGTAAAGTTACAAAGACAGGTTAACAAGAGAAAAGCATATAAATTTTATTGAATTTTTGCATGTACATGGGAGCCTTCACAAGAGAATGAAGCCTCAAAGAAGTGAACAATAGGAAGCTTTTATACCTGTTAGACAAAGAAACAATAAGTTTGTGAATAACTGACAAGACAAGGAATTGGGCTAGGAGTAGTAAATGGTGAAGAAGTAACTAGGAATATAAGGATTGCTTTAATAAGGTTTGTCTGCAGATTCTATGGGCTGATAGGTATCTGTCTCTAGTAAAAGAATTTATTCCCTGCCTTTATGCAGAAAAGGGAGAGCTTTTACTGCTTTTACTGCTTCTTAATTTGTTTCCCACATGGACAGGCAATTATCCCAACACCAATGAATAACTCATCCTTCAGCTACTCCTTAGCTTGGAAATAAGACAAAAGAAAAACCAATGTCCTTTCAGTGTCATGTTGGAGCACTAACAGGCCCACCCAAAGATATACCTTTGTTTGATTTGCTAATGACTATTGATTGAGGCCTATACTCTGTAAAATTATATGTTAACTTGTAGATTTTTTTCTGGCAAATACCCAATTAATTAGTCTGGTAAGGTTATGGTTTTATTGCCTTGTAAGATATTAACCAGTTTTAAATATAGCAAATCTTATTCCAACATTCTTTCTTCCATTCCCCAAATATTTTTGGAACCAGTTTTACCATCTTGCTGATTGATAAATAAATCTTTGACATTTGTTCATTGTGTAATTTTTACACGATGACATACTGAATAACACTGCAACTCTGTAACACAGGGCAAGTTTCCATATGTACACACGTCTGTTTCCAGGCATTCTTGTTCCACCCATGTATCTGCCTCTCTCTGCACTTTTCACTATCATGGCTTTCTTTATATGCCAAAGGAGCAAGCCCTCTACTTTATTAAATGTTCTTTTTCCAGGGGGTGGAGAGGGGACTGCTATTATTTTACCTTCAAACTTAGTTATAAATTTTAGAATAAGTTATTATAGAGTTACCAAAAAAAGTCCTGTCATGGTGTTTCCTGGGACTTCCTTACATTTCTAGCAAACTTTACAGAGAACTGCTATCTTTACAATATTATGCTTTCACATCTATACACATTTATTCAAGTCTTATTTCCTTCAATAAAGGTTTTTAATATCTGAAACACTGCAGTGGAGTACATGCATCCTTGCAAAAAAAGCCATGCTAAACGTTCCTTAAATTGCTTCAGGTTTAGGATCTGTTCCGCCAAAGTAAGTACAGTTATTAAACATTTAAATAGAAAGACTTGTCTGTTCCACCCCTGAGCATAACCAAGATGTTATACTGAGATGTTAGAAGAAACGTATTTTTAGCCAGTGAAAAATGTTATTTGGTTGACAGGTGCTAAAGAAAACATCATATTTCAATTACTGTTATGAGTGTGTTGGAAAATACATCCTCATTTTGCCCTGTATTTACTGCTCTAATTTATTTAAGTTTCTAAAAAAGCTTTATTGAGATATAATTCACAGACCACACAATTTACCCATTTAAAGCATACAATCAATGGTTTTTAGTATACTCATATTGATAGCAGTGTACAACTATCACCACAATCTAATTTTTAAAGTATTTTGTCACCCAAAAGAAACCTTGTATTCATCCATTAGCAGTCATTCCCCATAGTCCTTTGTATCTACACATTTGCTATAACTGGCTTTTTTCACTTAGCATAATGTTTTCAAGCTTCATCCATGTTACTGCATGTATCAGTACTTCATTCTTTTTAATGGCCAAATAATATTTCATTGTATGAATATAATACATTTTGTTTATTGTTTCATTTGTTGGTGGATATATGAGTTACCAAAAAAAGTCCTGACATGGTGATTCTGCATCCCTACCAGTAATGTATGAGATTCCCAATCTCTCCATATCTTGGCCAACACTTGTTATTGTCCATCTTCGTGTGGGTAATGTTATCTCATTATGGTTTTGCCTTTCATTTGCCTAAGGACTAATGATATTGAGCATCTGTTTAGGTACTTATTGGCCATTTGTGTATCTTCTTTGGAGAAATGGCTATGCAGGTTCTTTGGCCATTTGTTACTTGGGTTATTTGTCTTTTTATTTTTGTGTTTTATACTACTCTAATTTTTAATCATGAGGTAGAACTATTTTCAAATGAAATACTTACAGCTGTCTTTGTTTATACTTTTTCTCTCATTCAAGTCATAATTAGCAGAATCAATTCAAAATTAATTTCCCTAATAAATTCAACGCAATGTGCTATGTTCCTGCACAATAAAAAGCTAGCTCGTTTTGAAAAGCAAAAAATGAAGTAAAAATTTCAAAAATTATTAAAAGACAATATCCTTCCAGCTTTTCAACAAAGTTAAAATCTCTCGTTAAGGGGAGAAAAGGAATGAACAGAGATGGCCAACCGTTATGCTATGAGAGGCACCATTTATATAATCTACAGTCTGAACAGTGTCCACCGGCATTATGAACATAGGACTCCAGTGGATACCACCACCAGATTTCCAGGAAATTTATTGCTTAATATTATTGGCCATATGATTAGCTTGTCTTTCTTACTAAAGAAAACTGCTCACCAGACCAAATTCTGCCCAATCGGCAATTCCTTCAAATAGCCATTCTCAGGGCCACTGATCAGAGGCAGAGGGGACTGCTGCAGCTGCCACTGGGAGAGCAAGAAGAGCCCAGAAACTAGCAGGTACTCCCCCACGGACCTCTGACTGTCAGCTCCAACCCAGGCCTGTCACCAGTGCTATCAGAATCAAGGGAACGGAATTCAACATTTTCTCACCACTCCTGCAAGTGGAAACTCCCAACAAGACTGTGTGGATTAACTGACTGATTGA